GTAGGGACGACTACGATGACAAGTGAGGTGGCGACAAGGCCTGTTTCACAGCAGCAGAATAATAAAGCAGGCACATAGGATCTGTAGCAAAGACAGAAACCAAAGATCAATAGGAGTGGTAATTGGCCAAAATCACAACTTTAAAAATGCAGATACACCTTTCAGATTAACATAATGCTGGCAAAGCTTTGCCATTGGTCATTAAATAGATTTGTAAACCTAACATCTTTCAGTAAGTATAATTGACATTGGTTGCAAGCTAAGATAGAGATCCCATGTAAGAAAGAACAAAGACCAGGATCTTAGTTACAAAATTCTCCATTTTAATGCAAATGCAAGGTATAATAGCAAGCTCACATGAGCACAAGGATACTCCAGTTTTATGCAGTATGCAAACACTGAAGGTAGACCATAAGGTCCATTTTCTGAATTTACACCTGCAGTATCACATATATACCAAAATGGATGCAGTCTTTACATGGAGTAATTATACTTTTGAAAATCAAGGCAAGGGAGTCCAAAGGTGTCCCTTTCAGTATGTATGGCTGCTAAATCTAAAGCACGCACTCTCTAGGCTGCAGTATCTTGAGATAACTTGAATAGCTAAATCATAAAGAGGATAATGTAATTTGAAGAAGGAGAAGAAGAGAAACCTAAGAACCGTAATCAGAGTCTTCATCATAACCATTCTCCGCTAACTCGAGGGCCATGGCTACAGAACCTGAGCAGGAGGGCAGGTTCCTTGTGGTGTACGAGATAATACCCATCTTGGTTTATTTCTCCGGGAAGTCTATATACATGATCGTTGATAGTTAGTTCAATAATCAAATAAGATAATGCAAATGTATGCTTTGGAGGGTGGGTGCCTACAATGTTGTCCGATACTATTGGGAAAAATATTCCGAGTCACAGTTGATCATATTGGAGTCAAAGTAATTTTTATGGGTTAAAAATATAACCCATTCAGTCCAGAGAATCCAAAATACAAAAATCCATTGCATCCCCTTATAAGATTGTCTACCCATCCGATAAGCATAGAAGGGAAAATAGCAATGGAAAGATAACTAAAAATTGAATAATTTCCTTGAAATATACAAATGACAACTAAATGAGGTATACCAAGACAAAATATAATCATGTTTTGACTGTGTTCCTTTTACTGATGGTCATGATTACCTTAGTGTATGTCAGAATAAAAAAATCAAATAAACACATTCCTTGCATATTAGAATGTCACTACCTGGACAGATGGCCTAAAAAAAATCACATATGCCTTCTTTCTCATGTCGATCAAAGAAGCCCCAACAACATCAAATGACTTGAGTTTCAGATAAAGCATGATACACCTTGGATGGAACAGGCCAAAGCCCTGAGCCCGATGTATACATCATAGGAAAATGAAAGTGGAGTCAAGCATATGAAATAGATAAGGATACTACATACTCACCTGCAACTGATCCTTCGAACTGGATCTACACATCTCAAACCCTGTGAGAACCAAAACTGTTAACAAGGCATGAAAAAAAAGGCAAGTTGCCATCCTAAAACTAACATACAGCAAAGTAGGTTTACATATTTAAAGTAATTCATACAATCCATGAAGCGTGTCAAGGTGAACATAATAAGTGGAATACTCACTATGCCTACCTAGTAGTATTGACACCTTACCCATGATGATGCAGCAATTTGTTAGCAGTTTTACCCATAACATCGATTATGATCCATGCTCCTTCTCCTAGTCGTTGGCCTCCTTCCCCTCCCACTAACATGGTAGAAAGCATTCATCAACAGAGCTTAAAACAGGATGGAAGGTGACAAAAGCTTGTCAAATTGAACCCATAAGCATGGACGTTATACTATATTAAAAGAAAAGGCATGGAAAATGTCACAGCTAGTAGAGCAGGAAACCCATTGCTACTAAAATGTAAAATCTAAAAAATAGTGGATTACAACTCAGATCGAATAAAAATGTCACAACATTGAAGCTAATATGAACATCAATCTCACTATAACTACCTTTATGAGCATGCTGGCGGATGGAGCAGACGGCTTCGGTGTCCGTCAAACCTTGTCATGAGAAGAGAGGAGCAAAGAACAATGGCTCACCATGGGCAAGCAGGCCACCACCACCTCGTCGGAGTGGTTGTGCACTTTCGGCGACTTGCTGCCGGCCCCCATGCGTTCCAGCACCACCTCGCTCTCGTGTACCTCAGCCACCACCTGATTTTGCTGGCCCAGCGCCGCCACCTAGAGTGCCGCCTTCTCTCCTCTCTGGAGCACTTGCCGCTGACCTCCGTGCGCTCGTCTCCCACGGGCTTGCTTGCCCGGCGGACTGGTGAGGTACGGGCGAGCCGAGGACCTGCACGAACCCCACGCGCCGCTGCTCATCGTCTTCAGCTCGCCGTCACCCTCGAGGGCGCAGATCTAGTGGCGGGCGCAGCGAGGCCGTGGCGGCGGCAAGCACGTGAGAGGAGGTGTGGCGGCTGAAGGGAAGGGGAGGAAAGGGGAAGAAAGGGTGAAACACCTATGGATCGGGGGTAGGGTTTGTGCGGTGCCATACACCGTGTGCCGCGCGTGAGGGGAGGATTGGCTCGCACGTCGAAATGTCTCACCCGGCCAATAGACGTGAGCAACGAGCCCACCAGTCATAGGCTACGGAGAACTACCGACGGGTGAAAATCAGATTGACTGTAGGTAAAGATCTGACGTCTGAGAAGAGCCAGAAGACCAGATTGACTATGATCGAACGGTCAGAAGTGCATCAAATCGAGGGAGCTCCGTGGAGGCAAGTCGGCTAGCATCCTTTTACGTTAAAATTCGATGCCGGATCAATCAACAGGGAGAGGACACAAGAAAGCAGCATCCCCTCCCACCGATTTTCAGCAGCAGCAAAGGCTTCTTCTTGAACTGCTGCTGCTGCTTGCTGATATATAGTAGTTCCATCCTACATTCCTACTCCACCACGATCTCAGGCAGCTTCAGCATGCTTGCGTGCAGCGGCGGAGCTACGTGGGGGCGAACCTGGGCCATCGCCCCCCCAGCAAAAACGAATTTTTTTTACTACCCCCATATGTTTTACATACAGCCCACAACCAAAGGCCCATTTATCAATTAGTATTAGTAGTCTTCGTTGCCTGGAGCCCTGTTACCCTATAGAACGAATCCAGCGACCTAATCGATTTCCCCTTTGACCTACTGCTGCTTGCGACCAAAAAAAAACGAATCCAGCGACCTAATCGATTTCCCCTTTGACCTACTGCTGCTTGCGACCACAGACGCCTGACTGTGGTGGTGCCGCCGCGCCGGCGTCCGGCAGACTGGCCATTGTGGCTTGCCGGCGAGGCCGCGTGGGGGTGATCGCTGGCCGCTGGCGGCCGGCCGGCTAGGGCTAGCCGTTGCTGCATCCACTCCTCCACTCCTCCACTCCAGCATCCTTCCCTGTGGTGCCTCAGTGAGCCAGTGAGCAGCTGCCCTTGTTGGATCTCTCTCCAGTTGTCTCTCCATATATCTCTCCTCTGCAAATTGTAGAAAGTTCAATTGTTTTAATTCTTAATCTTATTTCACCTTAGTTGAGGAAAATTCTAATTAGGTCATCTCACCATGGATTTATTCAGTTGCATTTTGTACTGAATAAAAAATGTTCTTTACCAAGGAGCATTATTTCCAGGTGGAAGTATTTCGTGCAACACTTGATACTCAGCTACATGAATTAGAATTCAGGTTCAATTACAAGGTACTGGATCTATTGACCACTAGTGCTACCCTGATACCTAAAAATAAATTCAGATCTTTCAAAGCTGATGATATTTGTGAGTTAGTGAAGAAATATTATCCAGCTGATTTCACCCAACAGGAAATCTATGGATTGGAGCAGCAACTAAAACACTTTGTTGTGGATGCCTCCAATGACAAAGAGTTGAAAAATGTGTCAACCTTAACAAATCTTTGTCGATATCTTTTCGAGACAGGGAGACATTCTATCTACAATTTGATTGATCGATTGTTGCGATTGCTTCTAACTCTTCCAGTTTCTACAGCAAGTGCCGAGCGAGCATTCTCAACCTTAAGATCATTAAGACAAGGCTACGTAATACCATGGAAGATGATTATCTAGCCAATAGCTTGCTAGTAAAAATAAAGAGTGAAATCACGGAGAAGTACATCTACGAAGATGTTCCTATGCACTATAAGGGTGCAAAGAAACGAAAAGCTAATCTGTAGTGCAGTCTTGCTATAGTGAACCGAATGCTCCATGGTTAAATGGTATTTTGGCATAGTTCCTTTTGATATGGAGTATAACTAAAATTAGAAATGCATTTTGTAAAGCTACTCTGGAGAAGATCAAGATAAATGTCTTGGTTTCTCGATATTTGCAATATCTAACTTGTTGTGTTCGTATGATTTTGTATTTGGTTTTTCTTTGCAGCTTCGCCCCTCCTCAGATTTCTTTCAAGCTCCGCCACTGCTTGCGTGGCCGCCGCCGCACCTGCTCGCCCTGCTGCTCCGGCAACATCGCCTGGTTTCTCCGGCAGTGCAACCAGCCCGCCGGCTCGAGCACACGTCCCTCGCTTTGGTTGCGCATCCCTCGTCGCGTACCGTGTCGCAGCAGTCGGCCGGAGCTGGGGTGCAGGCTTTCGCCTTGGCGTGATGCCCGCAGTTTTCTGCCTCGTGTTCTTCGCTCTGGTGACTGCACTTGATTTGTTGTTGGTCAGCAGCTGACGCATCGATCAGTATGGAGTGCTCTCGGATTGCCTCGGCTGAGTTGATGCTCTGCTCATCGTGCTTCTCTTTGCAGTGGCCATGGCCATGGAAATGGTTCTTGCTTGTCACCAATTGGCTGCTCGCCTCTTTGGTGTGGTGGTGGCCCTGACCATGATCTTGACAGTGGCTGTGGCTGTGGCCATGGCCATGGCCATGATCTTCACATCCATGCTTGTGTGGGTGGTGCGGGGTGCCCGGCTCTTGGTGGTCGCCATGCCCGTGGTGATGAATGATGATGTTCATCGCCGCAAGCATGGCCACCAGCAGACGAACCTGCGCAGCCGCCTGCTGATTTGCACGGACCGCCGTGCTTCTCGGGGTGAGAGATGAGACCCTTGGTGAGAAGAAGCGCAGCATTTCTTCCCCCTCCCACCGTCTCCCCCTCTCAGCAACATCATGCTGTACATGATCACCAGCAAGCACGTGCCGACGTCAGCGAGCACCGCCGCCCAGACGAGCGGGTGCCCGGCGAGCGCGAGCCCGACGATGGCGAGCTTCGTGGCGACCGAGAAGACGATGTTGGTGAGGATGGTCCGGCGCGTCCTCCTCGCCAGCCGGATGGCCTTGGGGATCCTGCGGATGTCGTTGGACATGAGCGTGACGTGGCTCGTCTCCATGGCCACGGCCGAGCCGGACACGCCCATCGAGATGCCGACGTCGGCCCTGGCCAGCGCCGGGGCGTCGTTCATGCCGTCGCCGATCATCAGCGTTGGGCCGTCCCTCACCTTGAGCTCGTCGACGATCCGCACCTTGTCCACCGGCAGCAGTTCAGAGTGAACCTCGGCTAGAACATTTCCCAGCTGCCAGAAAACGCACAAGTTAATTAGAGGCTTTTTGGGTCGCGTCCTAGAGAGTGAAGACAGTGCACAACTGCAAGTGATTTTATTATATTTTTACCTGGTTCTGTGCGTAGGTGGCAGCGGCAGTGCTATCACCTGTGAGCATCACTGACTTGATGCCCATTGATCTCAGCTCCCTCATGGCTTCGGCTGATCCAGTTCGGCAGACGTCCGAGAGGCCGAATAGCCCGACCAACTCCTTGTTGCAGGCCACGTATCCAACGGTGACCCCTTTGATGTCATTTACCTCTGGAACTAGAACATGAAAAGATTCGAACAAGATCATTTAGCAACTCACAAAATCGTGTTTCAGACCATGAAATTGAAAATAAACATAGGAATTAAGACTTGAAGTTGAAAGGGCATGTTCACTGATATTCCTGAGGTTCAGTGGCAACTAGCAACAGAACTGTTTCACATTTCTTTACCAACCTGTTTCACATGAAGCCCTTGACAAGATCCTTTTGTTCCCGATGTATACACCTTGTCCGTCGATTTCACCGTAAATCCCCTCACCAGGGTAAATCTGAAATTCCAAGACATTCTCCGATTTTGGTTCCACCGAGTTTGATCGAGCATAATCAACAAGGGCAGCTGCCATTGGGTGGCTCGACCTGCTCTCCACGCTCGACACCCTGCAGAATCCATGAAATTAAGTACATATACATAAATAGGCAACACATAAGAAACTTAAAGAAAGCAAAAGTGCCAAAAGAAGTTGATGCAGAGTGTGACATGTACAGGGAAGTGACACTCACCAGTAGAGCAGCTGTTGATCTGCAACACGTTCTACGACTGCCCGGAACTCTGCGACGGCGAACTCTCCACTTGTAATCGTGCCAGTTTTGTCAAAAGCCGCGACTTTGATCCCGGCCAAGGACTCGAGGACATCCCCACCTTTGATGAGCAGCCCGGTCCTGGCGGCCTTGAGCAGCGCGCAGAAGGTGGCGACCGGCGTCGAGAGAACTAGAGCGCATGGGCAGGCGCTCACCAGGAGGACCAGGGCCATCTGAAACCAGTGCCTCAGGTTGTGCGCTCTCACGATCACAGGCGTCACCGCCACCGCCGCTGCCATGACGATCACCGCTGCAGGTGCACTCATGGAAAACAGTGAGAAAAGAAAACCCAAATGATGAACTGTTTTTGTACAAGTATCTGAATCTGTCTAGCAGCTTATATACCAGGAGTGTAGTACTTGGCGCAGGTGTCGATCAGCCTCTGCGTCTCTGATCTGCTGTTCTGGGCCTCTTCAACCAGCCTCGCCATCTTGGCCACCGCCGAGTTGTCGGCCATAGCCGTTGTCCTCACAGAAATGTAGCCTGAAATTACCATTGCCAGTAATGTATACAGAGCACAGACAGATTGTTTTTTCTTTTTAACCGGACAAAACTGAGACAATGTCTGTTAGCACGTACCGTCTATGTTGAGGGTGCCGGCCCAGACCTGCGAGTCCGTCTGTTTGGCCACCAGGAAGGACTCTCCGGTGAGGGTCTGCTCGTCGACCTCGCTCCGCCCATCGACGACGACACCGTCTATCGGAACGACCTCCCCCGCCTTCACAGCTATCACCGTGTCGACCTTCACGTCCTGCGCCACGACCACCTGCCCCGTCTCTGCTAGCACAGCGTTTTGTGGTGCCATGCTCATCAGCGACGACATCCCGGCAGTGGCCTGTACACGTCAACGGAGCATCTAATTATCTTCTTACATGGAAAAGGATAGCACGCACCTAGCTAGTGCCTTTAAGAACATGTAGTACAAAGAGATGCATGTATTGCTTTTAGCAGGGGACTAATAATAAAGTTGCATTTTACCTGCCAACCTTCTTTAATTTCCAAGAAATAAGTAAATAACTAGGTTCCCGGATTATCTAACTCCACTAGGCATAAAGCACTTGTTGTCTCTTGGCTGACAATTTCGGGACAGGCATGGTCTCTTGGTAAAGATGTATGGGGGGCTGGCTAGCTAGTGCACGGCCAGATATCCCACAAGTCTCTAATGTTGTAAAGGAATGCATGGACCCCTTCACTGCTAAGTGGGTTCTAATGAGAGGACCTCGATCGGCAATCATGCAACTGTTTCTTGTTTTGAGCCTAAAGATCCTGCAACTATTCCTTTTTCTTCTTCTTCCCTTCTAATGACGAAACTTGACTTTGTGTATGTGTGGTTACTTGAGAGCGAGAGGGAAAGGAAAGAGATTGTGAGACCTTGCAGCTCGCCCTTGTCTCGAGCCACTCCGCCGTGGTGAAGAGGAAGACGATGAAGCCGGCCTCGGAGTAGTCCTTGAGTGCAACTGCCCCACCGACTGAAAATGTGGCAGCAAAGTAAGTATTTTTTTTTTGAAGCCAGGCAGCAAAGTAAGTAAAACATGCAAGAAAGCCAGCTCTTTGCATTCATTTTGGTTGCCTGCCAAAATTGCGGGTAAAGCATCTTAACGGGAACGGTTGAGAGTAGTACGATCGATGGGTATGTGATGAAATGACAACATCATTGGGTCATCCTGGATGCATGCATGAGATTTTTTTTTCCAAAAAAGGGGTTTGCCCCGGCCTCTGTGCCAATAACTGAGTAGTAAGTAAACGAACTGATGGCAAGAAATTCTAGTTACAACTCTCACTATATATAGCTACAAATAGATGCCTTGAGAGTTACCTCTTGTAAGATGTCATGACACAATCAATTATCAAAATTTGCATATTTTTCTAATCATAATTTACATATTTTTTCTTCTAAGAAAGAAAAGCAGAGATCCTATCCCTTTGAAAGGAATGTACCGGCCGCAAATTCCTATTTTTATTAAGAAAAGCGGGGAATGTTCTCGGCCTCGATCCTCTACATCGAGTGATGCACATAGATCTTTGTGTGTGAAAAAACAAAGCAAAACATGTTATCCAGTTGCAATCATGCATTTCTCAAAAATATCCCTTGTCTAACTAATAAATGCCCCATTTTGTCGGAATTGATTCTAGTACGCAAACAAAATATCTAAAAATAATGACCGGAACGAAATGTTACTTCGATCGTGCTAAAGGAATCTGATGCCCTATCTGCGGCGACATGACACGGCCACATCCACCTGGCAGAAAAGAATACTCCTACACACTTACCTGCGATAAGCATGAGTATGTTGACGTCCAGGGTGAGCCTCCGCGCGGCGGCGACGCTTCTGAGGACGATGGGCGGCAGGCCGGCGGCCGTGGCGACGAGCGCGAGCCACCTCAGCGGGTGCCAGAAGTGCTGGAAGAGAGAGGCGACCAGAAGGACCCCGCAGAGGAGCACGTAGGGGCTCGGCCATTTGTTGATCTTGTCCGCGCCGCCGCCGTACGCCCGCACCGACGCCTCCAGCCGCGCCCCGTTCAGCGCCTTGACTGAAACGACAGAAAATAAGAATCGGCCGGAAAAAAGCTTCAGTTTCTGACTCTTTTTTTTAGGGACAGTTTCTGACTTTCTGTATGTGGCCTTCCCTCTCCTCTAGGACTCTATCTGACACGACACGACACGCCACCAGAAAGGTGACGACTGACGAGTCGTGGTTGGGTGCTGAGTTATGTGTACTTTTATCGATGGATAGTATGTGTAGTAAATAGAGCGGACTTGCTAATTGTCCTACGCTATTTATTTGATTAACCAAAAAAATCATCACGAATATTCAAGTAAAATCTAATGGTGACCTTGTGAATCCGGTTCAAGAAGCGCACGAAAAGCCAAAGCGAGGTGAATATATCCGGAGGAAAGCAACATGTTCGACTTGATGCATGCGTTGGTTGGCTCACCTATCTGGGCCTGGGAAATGGTGGCAGCGTCGTGCACGACGATCACCGTCCTGGAGGGCACGATCACGGTGACCTTGTGCACGCCGGGGAGCGGCTCGAGGAGCTTCTCCACCAGCGGCACCTCCGACGGGCAGCAGATGCCCAGCACGTCGAAGTAGCTCTTCTCCTGCCTGCCAGCCATGATCTCCCTCACACTCTTGGCGTGTTTTTGGTCCTCTACCGGCGACCTGCTTCCCACCCTCGTAGTCGTATGTGACCTGCTGGCCGGCGTCGCAGTTGGAGGCGGAATGTGTGGTGCTGGTGCGCTAGCTTAGCTGCGGGACTTGTTGGGAGGGGGGCGAGAGTATTTAAGGATGATGCTGTGCAGTGCAGTGGACACAGGGGTCTGGGGAAGAGAGAGAGAGAGGGAGGGATAGGTGGATGCTGACGAAGGGAGCACCGAGGCGGCGGACCGGAGAGCTCGGCAACCGCAACCCTGCCTTTTTCCTCGCCCAGGGCTTGTCCTTAATTAATCTGACACACAAATTCACTCTGAGAGATAAACAAGTGTCGCACACAGAATGCAGAGATAGAGAGAGAGAGAAGATGGAGATGCGTGCACTCCCCAATGGAGGAAAGGGAAGCGTGGTCGGCTCGCTGAAAGTAGAAAGCAGAGAGAGAGAGAGAGGAGAGTGGAGGAAGAAGGAAAGGGAAAGAGATGAGGGGGGAGACGAGGATAGTAATGGAGGGCGATTTGTCGGATTGATCGTGGGATTGGGTGGATTAACACCGCAACCGGTGCATTATTAGCGGCACTTCGATAATCAACACGCGCGCCCCGTTTCGTCTATGGCACGCTCCTCAATCCGCACTTAAGAAAAAGTTTTTTGCCTTTCCATACGCATCGTTTCTTGCTAACCCATTTTCTTCTCTTTATTATACAGTTTTTGCCTTTCCATACACTCGCAAAAAAAAGGCACGCTCCATAATATGTACAATCTTTGTCACAGCCTGTCCCGCCTCCTTACCCGCGCCGCCATGACTTCCCGTCCCCTAGCGGGCCTGGCGGTGCTCCTCAGGCGCGGCGTGGCAATGGGGCGGGTGCGCGTCGCCGGCGCCGCCGCACCTCCCCTCCGGCGGCTCGCATCTGGGGTGGCGTGCTCGGGCCCCACCCTTCCGCGCTTTCCGGGGCTGCTGGCCCGCCCGTGCTCGATCGCGTGAGCTTCTCTCCCCTGCCGGCAACAGGCGACCTTCCACTTTTGGAGTCTGCGCCTGCCACGTTTTTGGAGGTTTCCCAGCTTGCGGGCCCGCCTGCATGCACGGACCGGCCTCCCATGCCAGGTCCCAACCGCACAGTCGTTGCGCTGGTGGCCTCTAGCCTGCTTGCGGCCAATGAGAGACCGCTTCCCCAAGCCATGGTGGACAACGGGCAGATTGCCCTTGGTCAACTCACGTTGCTGGCCCTGCGGGAGCTGCTCTGTCGGGTGCTGCCTTGCAGCCTCTGGTCTGCTCTCCGACAGCCATGGTCCCCTCCAGCACGCTCGTCTCGGACCCCGCCACCCCTGCTCTGACCGTGCTACTGCAGCCAACCACAACTCCTATTCCTGCTCAGGGGCGGGGCCCCAGGTCTGCGGCTCCACTGGCTCCATTGGCGTCCCCGAGGCGGGCCCCTCCATTCCGCGCCCGGTGGACGAATCCTTGGCCTTGATTCCCATGCAGGCCATGCAAGATCCTGGCCACGTCCCTGCTGCGGCCCCAGCTAGCTCGGTGGCGATGCACGACGCCCTGGATGCTTTTGTCCTCTCTGTGCAACATGGACTGAACCCGGTGCTGCAGCCCCCGCCTCGCCGTCGTAGACGTGAAATTCCACCCAATTTCACCCCACGCAGGAGCCACCGTATCGTCCAAGCTAACCGTGGCCTAGACTCTGAGATGAAGGCCAAGAGGGTGCTACTCCGACGTCTGGGCCTCCTCCACGACGACAAACCCGTTGATCCTGTCACGCTGGATAAGTACGCCAAGTCGTTTGAGCGGCCCCTCGCCCCAGATGTCCTGCAAGCCTTCGCCGATTTCTACGGGTGGGATGTCCCCGTGGATGGTGTGCTGCCCATTCTAGCTCCATCTTCGTCGGGCATTGCGGCTGCTTAGTCCGCCCTAGAGCTAGTCTCTCCCTGGGACTCATGTCTTGTCATATGGAGTGCAACCCTAAGATTATATTCTGGAACGTCCGCGGCCTCAACTCTGGTGCCAAGCGCGCCGCCGTCCGCAGTGTTATCTCCTCGGACCCTCCCGCCGTCATTTGTTTGCAAGAAACCAAACTCAAGCTCCTCACACCCACTCTCGTCTCGGAGACCCTAGGCCCGACCTTCGATGCCTTCTTCTTCTTGCCCGCGGTGGGCACGTGCGGTGGCATTCTTCTCGCTTGGCGAAGCTCTGAGATCGTGGTTTCCATCCCAATCTTCGGCACGCACCACATCACCGCCACGGTTTCTTTGCTGACTGGTGATTGCCCTTGGTGGCTCACGGGTGTGTACGGACCGCAATCGGACGCTGACAAGGTCACCTTCCTGCAAGATCTTCAGGACATTCGTGCCCTCTGCGCTGGCCCTTGGATCATCGGCGGCGATTTCAACATGATCGCGGCCGCGGTAGACAAGAACAACTCTCGGCTCAACATGCGCCTCATCAGGCGTTTTCGCCGCTTCATGGCCGACATGGAGCTGCGTGACATGTACCTTCACGGCAGGTGCTACATGTGGTCTAGCGAGCGCGACAACCCCACCCTGGTCCGCATAGATCGTGTCCTCTGCACCTCCTCCTGGGAATCTGCTCACCCGAGCTGCCTTCTTCGGTGCCTGTCCTCCGCTACCTCGGATCATTGCCCCCTTGTGGTCGATTGCGCCCCGCGTTCTCCAGGGCCGCGCCGCTTTCGCTTTGAGCAATTTTGGCCGAAGATGCAAGGCTTCCAGCAAGTCGTTTCGGACGCCTGGTCCTCCGTGCAGCCTGACCCTGATCCATTCCGCCGGATCTTTGATCGCCTCCGGATCACGGCTCGGCGGCTGCAGAGCTGGAGTGCCAAGTCCATCGGCGACGTCTCCCTGCAACTCATGGTCGCCCGGGAACTCATCGCTCGCCTCGACGCGGCACAAGACCTCCGGCCTCTCTCCGCCCAGGAAGCTTGGCTTCGACGGCGGCTCAAGGGCGCCTACCTTGGGTTGGCCTCCTTGGAGCGCACCATCCTCCGCCAGCGTGTTCGCCTAGCTTGGCTCCGCGACGGCGAGGCCTCCTCGGCCTTTTTGCGCATCCAGGCCTCGCACCGGAAGCAGCGCACCCGCATCCTCTCGCTCCGCCACGGTGACAGCACCACCTATGATGAGGATGCCATGGTCGAGACCGCCTTCCACCACTTCTCGAATATCATTGGCGCCACCGACCCACGCGAGTTCTCCTTGGACCTGGATGCAATTGATCCCAGATCCTTCGACCTCTCCTTGCTCGAGCTGCCCTTCACCGAGGACGAGGTCTGGCACGCCGTCAAGCAGCTACCCACAGGCAAATCCCCTAGTCCAGATGGCTTCTCAGCCGAATTCCTACGCTCCTGCTGGGACGTGGTCAAGAGCGACTTCATGGAAGCTTTTGACAAGCTCTACCACATGAACGGGCAAGGTTTCCACTGTCTGAACGAGGCATTCATTACCCTGCTGCCCAATCGCGCTGACACGGCCACCTTGTGTGACTATCGACCCATAAGCCCGATTCATCTCACCGCCAAGCTCGTCGCCAAGGTGCTTTCCCTGCGGCTCGCTCCCCGCCTCAACGAGCTCGTCTCTTCAAGTCAGAGTGCTTTCATCTCCGGCCGTTGCATCCACGACAACTTCATACTTGTCCACCAGACGGCCCGACATCTTCATCACTCCAAGGCCAACCACGTGCTGCTCAAGTTAGACATTGCTCGCGCCTTCGACGTCGTCTCCTGGCCTTTTCTCCTCGAGGTACTGCGGCACCTTGGCTTTGATCGCCGGTGGTGCGAATGGGTGTCCATCGTGCTATCCACGGCCACCTCGCGCGTCCTTGTCAATGGGAGGCATGGCCACTTCATCCCCCATGCGAAAGGGCTCCGTCAGGGCGATCCGGTGTCCCCCATGCTCTTTACCTTGGTGATCGACGTCCTCAACTCCCTCATGCAGCACGCCACGGGCATGGGCATCCTCCGGCGCCTGACCCCACGCCATGTTGCCCCTAGTGTGTCCCTCTACGCCAACGACGTCGTCATCTTCTGCCATCCGGACAGGGCCGAGCTGACGGCGGTGCATTCCATCCTGCATGCTTTTGGGCAAGCATCGGGCCTCCATATGAATTTCGCCAAGTGCTCCGCCACTCCCATCCACTGCACCGACGAGGAGACGTCTTGCATAGTTGCTGTGCTGTCCTGCCCCATTGCCAGCTTCCCCATCTTCTACCTGGGCCTTCCTCTCTCGGTGTGTAAGGTGCCGGCCTCGACTCTTCAACCCTTGGTGGACCGCCTGGTCAAGAAGCTCTCCACATGGCGCGCCTCCATGCTCTCCAGGGGCGAGCGCCTAGCTCTGGTGAGGCACGTGCTATCTGCTATGCCGATCCACCTCCTCATGGCCATGGCGATCTGCCAACCGGTTCTCAAACATGTCAACCGCATCATCAGAGAGTTCCTCTGGCACGGGCGCCGCGAGGCCAACGGTGGGCACTGCCTGGTTAACTGGCAAAAGGTGTGTCGACCTCTCGAGTTTGGCGGCCTCGGCATCCTGGATCTTCGGCGTTTCGGCATCGCGCTGCGCACGAGATGGTGCTGGCTTCAGCGCACGGATCTGTCTCGCCCTTGGCGTCACCTCAAGCTGCCCGACGACCCGGAGGCTCGTGCCATCTTCCGCGCCTCCACTACATGGACCGTGGGTGACGGGCGATCCTGCCTCTTCTGGGAGGACCATTGGGTGGACGGCCATTCCATCTCCGAGCTGGCTCCAGCCCTCGCCTCCCTTGTTCCCCGCCGATGCCGCCGTTCCTGCACCGTGGCGGACGGCCTTCTCCACCGTGCCTGGACCCGTGACCCTCGAGGAGCTCTCACTCCGGTGGCCATGGTCCAGTACGTTGAGCTTTGGCGCCACCTCCAGCATACCACTCTCTCCGACGAGCCGGATCGCTTGAGTTGGCGCTGGACAAGCAACGGCT